TTATTTTCTGCGTTTTTAATTGTTCACCTTTTTTTTGGGGTGGGGGAGTTTACTACTTTAGGTTATTGTACTGTGGAGAAGGTGATTTAATGCTGATGTGTTTGCTTATGAGCTTATTGATGAAGTGGTAAATGATTACGCATTGATGTTTATTTATTTATTTTGTTCCTTTTGCGGTATATTGTAGATCAATGAGGAGGCCAGTGAGAAAGTATTGGAAGTGGAGCAGAAGTACAATGTGGTTCGCAAGCCAGTCTATGATAAGCGGAGTGAAATCATCAAGTCGATTCCTGATTTCTGGTTAACTGCTGTATGTGGTTCTATTCATTCCTATTGATATATAAAATATATAAAACTTTTTCATACAGAAGAAAGTTTTAAACTAACAAACATTCTTGATGTGCAGTTCTTGAGTCATCCTGTTCTTGGTGAACTTTTGACTGAAGAGGATCAAAAGGTTTAATGTCACTTCTTTCCAACACTGAAATCAGTTCTTCACTTCTTTTATTTCGTGAAATTTATTCGGTGTCCGATTTTCTTTTTCTGGATGTTTGCCTGATTTCTTTATCTTCTTTTGAATTATTTTTAATCTGTAGATATTTAAGCATATTAGCTCACTTGAAGTGGAGGATTTCAAAGATCTGAAATCTGGATACTGTATTACATTTGTAAGTTCATTTATGTTCTTCCTTTTTACCTTTTTTGTAGGCAATTGAAATTGATGGTACTTTCTTTTTCTTGCATTCGATTGCTGGTACAGAAGCAATATTAGTTCATGTTTTAATTGAATTTGATTATAATTTTTCAGAACTTCAACCCCAATCCATATTTTGAAGATACAAAGCTTACAAAGACCTTTACATTCCTTGATGAGGGAACCAAAATTACGGCCACCCAAATCAAGTGGAAAGAGGGAATGGTGAGGCTGTCTCCGCTCATGATGTGCGTATGTCCTATTATTTGTATTACATGATTATGATATAAAATTACTTTCCTTAAACACCAAGGGCTTGCCAAATGGACTTCATCATGAGAAGAAAGGAAGCAAGCGCCAGTTTGCTGAAGAAAGGTTTGTTTGTCTTCCCTGTCAATGAATTCTTTCTGTATCTTAGAACTTAAGTAAAAACTTCAGGTTGTGAAATGTAATCTTGTATTTTAGCCTAGCATTATATGAGGTTCTCATTTTCTTTATTAGTCATTGTTCTGATTTATTGAGCCAAATCTTGACTGATTAAGATTTCTTTTTTACAAGATGAGTACATTGCGAATTGTAAAGCATCAAAGGAAAAGGATATCATGGAGATAACATAAAAGATGGAAAACTATGTGTCCTCTTGATAAATATATACATAAAAGATTATATAATCCTAATAATAATTTAAATATATTAGCCAGTTCAAGATTTTGAATATAGGTTGTGTAACAACTTTTAAAATTTAGTTTTATTCTAAAGCAATTCATAAGTAATGAGGATATCATAGCATTTAGAGCCAGGTTTCAAAGTAAAATATATTAGCCAGTTCAAGATTTTGAATATAGGAGTCAAATTAGCATTTATGCATGCATTTGTATCATCTAATCTGGGTCTAGTTAAGTAACTTATATCCCTTTTAATCTCCTGGCAAGCATTTTTAGCGTGCTTATAAATGGTGTGCATTTATACATTTATTTCGTTAGTTTCTTATAAGTTACATACTTGTATTATAACTCTAATATGCTAGTCAATTGCTGTGTTATAAATCATTTGCATCCCTTTTTGCCGGCCTCTTATTTGATCCTTTGATCTCACTTAGCCAAGCTACAATTCAGACTATAACATGCTAGATTTCCTACACATAGTTGCAGCTTCTTTACCTGGTTTGCTGATGCTCAGCAGAAAGATGACATGGATGAAATTCATGATGAGGTAAACTTTATATGCACATGCCATCTATCTATATTTAGTTATGTATTTATGTTCTTTAAAGTGCTGGTCTAAGTTTTTCACTTGATAAACCATTACAGGTAGCAGAGATTATCAAGGAGGACTTATGGCCCAATCCTCTCACTTATTTCAACAGTGTAACTTATTTTTTGCCTGGCTTCTTCCTCTGGTTTTGTAGCACATATTTTGTTTAAATTATGTTTTGCTTTGTTTGCTTATTGTTATTTGTAACTTCCTGATGTAGGAGGCTGACGAAGAGGATTTTGATGGAGATGAAGAGGTAGATTTTTTTTTGAAAAACTTAATATATGCATCCGACCATTTTCACTCTTCCCCTGCCCTGCTCTACCCTCAAGCCCTGGGGATTTTTAGATCAAAATGGCTTTAAGTTTTTAGATCAAATTTGGACTATTTTTGTGATCAATATGTCAGGGTAGATTATAATTAATAGTGTATTTTGAACTTGAAAAATGAACTTATCAATTGAACCCAGAACTGCTGCTATTGATAACAAAATGTGAATATAAATTGAAATTACTAAGGTTTAGAGGCTTATCAAATGGTTGGAATAAGTTGATAATTTTCTCTGGGGTCGTTGTGAGTTGGTGACATTTGTGTGAGGCATACTTTCTAGAACTTGCTATGTGAATTTGCTTATACCTGCATACATTTGTCTCATGGGGTTTAGGTACTATAACTGGTTCTACATATGATCTTGTGCTACTTAGTTATTGAAGGCAATTTAGTTTAAGTTGGAAACTACAGTTTTTCTCTTAATAAGCTAGAGTGATAGGGCTTCTCTACTATGTAATGGATGCCGTAAGACAAGTTTCTTTTGCTAAGATAATTGCGCTGATTATACTAGGCTTCGTTTGGGAATGCTTATCCAAACAAGCTTTTCCAGCGAGCTTTTCAACACAAAAGCACGTTTTTCCAGCTTTTTGGTTTGAGTCAATAATCATGTTTCAAATGTGAATTTTTGGCTGAAAATGAGTTGTAATTTTCGGCCAAAAGCACTTCCATAAGCATTCCCAAACGGCCCCTAAGTAATGCAGAAGCCACCAATTTGCGTTATGTAAATCTAATAGCATTCAACAATTTGCCATGTTAATTCTGTCGAAGGTGGCTGAATTGGGATAGCTGGAGGAGCTAGGTCCATGTGACTACCTCTACAAACATGTATATCATGTATTGGCTTTAGGTTATTTCTAGGTGTTTACAGACACATTTTTGGGAATAATTCTTCTTCTACCCACCAAATCATTCGGATGGATTCGTGGGTTATTTCCTCATGTGCATGCCTTTTAAATTACTTTAGACCAGTTTAGCTCGATTTTCACCGAGTTCAGCATTGTGTAGAGAATTTAGCTGTTGTGAGATGAATGGTCTTTGACCAAGTTAAGATTTGGGTTTCAAAATGAAGATATTTAGTTTGGATTACCGATCAGTGGAGTACTCAATTTAGCAGTATAACAGAATTTTGGAATTAGATTGGAATAGCAATGGGGGAAATTGTGGTGATTTGAGAGCATTATTTGCATTTTCTCTTTATTCTAGGAAATATTTCCATCTAGGTCCTGGTTACTCTGAATCTTTATTTTTCTTGACATAACTCTGTCAGACTTTGAACCATATCCAGATATGGTTTGGGTAACATGATCCTACACAGATCCTCCAAATACATTGAAAAGCTTTGAAGAAACTAGAAAGCCTATATATGATGATTACACCTGAGTTTGAGTACTATGTTTCCATTTAGATATAAATCTGTATTGGAATTCATATCTGCTTCAGAATTGTTAGACAACCGTTCATTTATTTATGCTCTGCTGCTGCATTCAATGTCTAGATCACCTTTGTGCACGTTCTTAAGTTAGATCGATATGCATGTACGTATGAGTTGAATTGCATCGTTGCCATTGAGCTCTACTCTGATATTTTTTGTGGTATCAGTTGCTTAGGAATTTTGTTTACCCTATTAATATTTTTGTCCATTGATAGGGAAAAGAGGACGATGATGACGAGGACGAGGATGATGATGGTGATGACGAGGATTAACAAAAATGAGTGGGTGGCCTTAATTCTGTCGGGCTTGCTTTAGTAAGAACTTGTGAAAAGCTGTCTTAGTGGTTGCTAAGTAAGGTTCTGGGGAGGATGACCATCCTCAAGATAGCTTTCTTTTTGCTCCTCTCTCTTTTACGTTTTATAACTATTTTTTATGTTTCCCCCCTGATCGGAACATGGAATGATATATTGCAGATTTTTAGAATTTTATATATGCTTATAATATTTCATGTTCTATTTGCCTAGATTATGCATGTTTAGTTTTAAGCAAATAGAGAATTATTTAATTATTTGTTCAATGTAAAATTCTTAAATGATAATATATCAAAAAATAGTCCCAAATCCACTTGAGAATACATTATTAGAACGATTGTATTATTAATGGTTTTTAAAATATATAAAATTAGATAGATAAACAATAATATGAATTGGTGTTTCATATGATCATTAGTTCAGTAATGAACTCAACTCAAGCACTCATAGGTGGTGTTTGGTGTTGGGATGATTACTCCAAAACCCTCGGCAATCTACTTATTGGACACTTTTTGTGTTCTTTAAGATTTTAATAGAACCTGAACATTATAATATTTTATTAGTATAAAAATATATTGTGTACGTATGAAAAATTTCATTAAAAAATGTTTTAGGAGTGAAACTAATTTACGCGAACAATATAATTAATTTAAACATAGATGTGTTTTAATTTTTTAAATACGATTTACGTTGTATTTTCAATGAACCGAGTTGTCTCCGTGGTAAATAAATGTTTATTATTTCTTGAGACCCGAATTCGAACACTGAAAACGTCAAGGGTGTGAGCATCAATACCAAAGGTTGAGAGTTTCTGATTAATTAAAAAAAAGTTTACGGTTAAGTCGACAGAAAGATCAGATTAATATGATATTAATAATTTTTTATTTTATTAGAAAATTTTCAAATTTGAGGACTAATTTAAAATCAGGGCTATAATGTGGGGACATAGGGTGTATGTAAACCCGCCCGCTTCGTATCTGGCATTGACTTAGATGTCTATCTGTCATGCGGCGGTCTCTATCGTTCGCACTACGGATTCGTAATCTGGCAGTGCCGTCCACCCCTCACGGAGCAACCCTTGCCATGGACAACAGCAACCCCCACAACCACCACCACCAACGCCGCACCACTAACAACAGCGTCGAATCCGACCCTCGCGTTCAAAAACTCCAACAACTAATTGAAACCGACCCATCTGGTAATCGTCCTTTTAAACCCCAAACAATCATTCACATATTTGTTATTTGTATAGGCATTAGGTATTCGTTCAATCTTTTTTCGAAGCAATTAAGGGTTTTGCTTATATATTAGACTAGTTTTCTACATGGGTTCTGGTAATTGTATGATGCTTTTCTACACCATTTCATGATTATCTTTCCTCTTCATCTTTAGCTGGTTGGGAAGAGTCCTGGAAGCAGGGAGTCACCCCTTGGGATTTAGGTCGCCCTACGCCTGTTATTTTGCATCTGCATGACACTGGATCACTCCCCATGGGCAGGGCTCTCGTCCCTGGATGTGGCACTGTAAGTTGTAATTCTCTGCAATGTGCCTTATTGCTTAGAAAAAACAGCTTCATGAACTATGCAAATCAGGGCGGCCTTTACTTATTCGCAATCAATTGTTGAAATTACATATAATGTTTCTTAACTGATTTAAATGAGAATAAAGTATTGCTCAGGGATATGATGTGGTGGCAATGGCATGCCCTGGACGCTATGTTGTTGGTCTGGACATATCAGAGGAGGGCATAAAGAGAGCAAAGCAGGTTAGTGAGGTCTTTGCGGGTTGGACACAAGATATTATGACAGGGGTGCGAACCTTTAGGAAGCATATAAGAAATTTAGAGGGTGCAAAATTATATCATCAAAAGAAAATACAATGGAAATACTTAAATTATATAGGAATTTGAAATTTCCAGGGGTGTGATCGCCTTCTAGCACCCCTTGGTTCATCCCTGTTTGCACTCCTCCCACTTTAACAAGTTCCTTAGAATGGTATCAGTTGCTCTGATTTTAGGTATTTTTGCTGGTTTTAGTCTTTCTGCAGAATTGCTTATTCTAATGTTATGTTTGGTTGTCAATATAGATGTCTTGCTTGTCACCGAATGCAGATTATTTTACTTTCTTGAAGGAAGATTTTTTCTCATGGCGTCCAACACATTTGTTTGATCTTATTTTTGATTACACGTAAGTCGTCTTTAAAGTGTAGTTATTCCATTAGGAAAATCTCTCGATCATCACAACCTTATGAATTTGCAGGTTTTTTTGTGCCATTGAGCCTGATATGAGACCAGCATGGGCACAGCAAATCCATAACCTTCTAAAACCAGATGGAGAGCTTATTACGTTGATGTTTCCAGTAAGCATTTTTTTTTGTGGTTTTATGAGTTCTTCCTTTTCGTCATCTCCTCATCGAGGGACCATTTTTTTTTTCAGTTAAATTCTTCTTTATCAATTATATTATAAGTAGCTATGACTGTAAAAAAAATAATTCTGCACAATTTATGGTAATTGAAGTGTGGCTTTCCTACTCTACTTTTTATTGTGTTGCTTGAAGTAAAAGTATAATTCCCTGATGTCAGATGGATGATCATGCTGGTGGACCCCCTTATAAAGTAGCAATTGAAGAGTAGGTTTCTGCCACCTTTTCCCCTTCTTTTATCTAGATTATGTTAAAATTATTTTCTAATTCTGTTTTCGCGCTATTGCTCGTAAAATCTTGATTGAATAGGGACACACACACACACATATATATACTGACAAGAGAATGATCCATCTCAATCTGTTGGGAACTTTGTAATCATGCAGCTATGAAGAGGTGTTGCATCCAATGGAGTTTAAGGCAATATCCATTGATGATAATGAATTGGCCATCAAAGGTAGAAAGGTAGGTTAACTTGTTTCTACTTTTTAGTCAATAAACTTCAGTCTGAGGTTGCAAAAGCTATATTATACCTCATATGAAGCTGTAATTCGAATTTGAATAACGTGCACTAAATATTACAATTTCAGGAAAGTAACAAACCCAATGGTGGATCTAGAAATATTTTTTTAGGGTAGGCACACATGCTAACAACACAAAATTTTCGAATGGGGTAGGCACATATAAACTTTCAGGGTGGGCTCCATCAGTAAAATAGGGAACTAACTGAAGAAAATTCGGATTTCAGTGCCCACCCTCAGCTATATTTGGCTCCGACGCTGAACAAACTAGTTTGATGGTTCCACAGTATATATAAGATAACACCTTTAGCGGAGGTGAGGATGTGGACTTTGTTGATCAATCCTTATGCAATGCCATTATAAAGTATATACTTAAGACTACTGCTAACTAGTCTTCCTGTAGACTGGTTTTTTTTCTTCTATATCATTTTGATTAGAAACAAGTCACATTCATGGATCTTCATTCTTATTTGTCAAAAGAAATTCAGCTTTCTCTATCTTCTTTTTGAAGGAAAAAAGTAAACACTATAAGGGATTTATATTAGGCTAAATAATTTCTTTGATTGATTGAAGTCCATTTGGACTGTTGTTTCTTTATTGGACTTGACTTGAGGTTATTTGGATGTTCAATATCATTTCTCTATAACTTGGGAAGGGAAATGCTTTATATTAGATTTTCCGACCGAAGCATCTTGTATCTCTGGTGAATAAATGTAAAGCGAAAGAAAAATGGAAGATGGAGGAGGAAAAGGAAAATGGACTTTGTTAAGACCAGCCGACGGACAAGGCTCTCTCATTTTCTTCGTCGATGTCGTGCCTATAAGTCAGTACTCAGTATTGTCCTCTTTGGATTCCTCTCCAGTTCTTGGAGAAATTGTCACCCGAATATGCGCCTCTTCACGTTCAGACCTGGGGTCTTGAATTTGGTATTGGGTTTGAACCTGGGGTGGCATCTATTCCGATGAAAAATCCTTTGAAGTCAGTAGGCATTCAAAGACGGCCTGGTGCACATGTGGCCCAAGGAAATGAGAGTACCTTGTTGATCAGTAACAAACTTATTATTGGAGCCCCACCAATTTCTGGTGGAAATTTCTTAGTATAGATTTTAGTTTGATCTAGGATGCCTTCTTGGGCAAATAGAAGAGAAAATGTAATATATTTTATTATATTAAGGTACTCAAAGTATAATAATTGTGGCCACTTACTCGCTGTTACCTTGTCTAAATACTAGGTTCTTGTCGGACTGATCTCTTTGAGTGTTATTTCTTCAAATTTTCACTGCCTTTTCTGCTTCCCCTTGGATGTAATATTAATCTATGATAGCCATTAATGAAGGTCTAGTGATTTACTTCTGTATTTCTGAGTTGTACCTGATACTTAGAGATGTGTAGTCATAAAAGCATTATATATATAGATCGCTAAATACTAGTTCCTTCAACAGGGAAGAGAGAAGCTTGGAAGATGGAAAAGAGCTGTAGGCAAGTCCTCCTATGAATTGTGATAACGGTCGTTGGCTCAAGATCAAGGGTAATTAATTTCATTTACAATGCTCATCTGAACCGGAACACTTTGCACATGATAGTTCATGTTAATACAATGTTTGAAATCTCGTATTTTCTTTTGTAATATGAAATAATTCTGTTTATTTTAATTCTCTAGGTAGTTTGGTTATAAACGAGTCATTTTCCTTTGAAAGTTACGATTTAGTCATTCAATTAAAATATTATTATAAATATGTCATTGATCGTTAAATATTAATTTGTGTGATCCTGTATGATAACAATTTTAGTCTTCAAAGCTTATAAATTCTATAAATTTTCTCTTAATTCAAAACACTTAATAAATTTAATCTTTTTATTTAAAAGTTCTATTAATTTAGTCTTTATCTGAAATATTATAATATTTTCATGTTATAATAATAATTTTGTTATTGTTTTATTGTAGAGTGCAGTTCAATTGATGTATTAGACTCGTTTGATTTGATAGTATTGTAAAACAACACTAAATTTATGGATTTTTATTAATTAATTTGAGGTGAATACAAAGTAGAATAAGTCTCTCAACCATTTATCAATAAACGTTCGTACATCCATGTCACATTGGACGTGTATTTTAATTTGAACGATGAAGCGATTTATTTGTCTTAATATTTTAATTAAATGATTAAATAGTAATTTTAAAAATATGAAAATGAAAGACGATTTGCTTTTTGTGATGAAGTACAATATGAAATATGAAAGTCCAACAAAACAACATAAGGATGATGGAAGTATTAAGATCCATGACAGAAGATGAAGCAAATGGAGATATTTGGCAGTGCAAAAGAAAAAAAGAAAATGAATGGAATGCTTGCATGCAGATGGAGGAGTATTGCAGTTAAAAGAAGGCTTAATACCAAAATAAGTGCTCAAACTATACCCATTTTCTCAAATAGGTACCTAAACTAATTTTCATCTTATCTATGTGCCTAACGTTACAAACGCTACCCATTTAAGTGGATGGGCCGGTAATGGTGTTAATTTTTCTGTTGAATGACACAATCTGATAATTTTAAAATTTTTATTTAAAACTAAAAAATGATAAATTTTTTAAAATTAAAACTATATATGTATTTTTAAAAATAGAAAAGATAAATTTTGAAATAAACCCAAAACTTTAAAAACCTTTATTTCAACACCTAAACCCACGCCAACAGTCGTATTTTGTCGTCAACGAAGCTCCACCGACCTCCCCTTTCCCCGGCGACCAAAACCTCCATGAAATCGTGATCGATCGACGGCCTATCGACGACGAATCAATGTTTCAAACTGCCAGAACCCTAGGATTGAAATAGTGATTCTGATAGCCAATCACGGAAAATACAACGGTGTATGTGTAGAAAGATGGCAAGGACTACGTCGGTGACGATGGCCACGGCTGGAAAGGACGACGACAGCGGATTAAGGTTAAGATATGGGATTTTGGGTTGTTTTATAATATAGGAAAAGTTCGTGTTTTTTAATAAATATCATAATATTTTTTAATATTTTATTTTTTAAAGAATAAATTTCAAAATCATCAGATTATGATACGTGTTACTTAATGGGAGAAATTAACGCCGTTGACGGCTTATGCATCTAAAAGGGTAACAGTTATAACCTAGATGGGACAGAAATTAATTTATGTATCTATTTGAGAAAAACAATATAATTTAAACAATTATTTTGGTATTAAGCCTTAAAAGAAAGGCAAGAAACATTCTTTGTACCGTCCTTAATTATCTGGTTCATAAATAGAAATGTGCCGCCTTGTCTGCCTCACCCTTGGCTCTCACGATCCTCACTTTCCGCTGTCTCCCTACACTTTGCGCTTTTCATCTTTCATTTTTCTGTCTTTCTGATCGGAATCAATTCACCCTCTATCTTTTTTCATCAACATATCTACTACTGCTAAACCACGATCATTTTTTTTATGTTTAGTTATGGATGAACATACCATCCATGATGACGATAAGGACCGAGATGCCCTCGCCGGCCTCAGCTCCGTTCCGCCTCCCCAACGGAAGATACATTCCTACAGCCAGCAGCTACGTGCCAACTCCGCCTACAAGCGTCACCGCCAAGTCCGTAACCACAGCCTCGATGACATCCCCAAGCCGCCGGATTACTTCAACGACGAGTCTTCCGACGACGAGTTCTTCTATCACTCCACTTCCAACAATGCTCCCAATGCCTCTGGTGAAGAATATATTATCACTAGTCATTCTCAAAGGGAAAGGCTCGACAAGAACTTGTCCTTGGAAGGCAGTTGTGCTACCGTCGATGATTCCCAAACTTTCCAGCCTTTCCAGCCTCTGCCGGAGTTCATTGGTTCCGGAGGTGGCACCGGTATTTTCAAGGTCCCGATGCGTGCCACCGTCCACCCCAGGCGGCCACCTTGCTTGGAGCTTAGGCCACATCCTCTAAGGGAGACTCAAGTAGGCAAATTCTTGAGGAACATTGCTTGTACGGATACTCAGCTTTGGGCGGGCCAAGAGAGTGGGGTTCGGTTCTGGAGGTTCGAGGATGCTTATCAGCCCGGCTTCGGTTCCAAAGTTCGAAGAGGCGACGAAGACGCCGGACCGTTTCAAGAGTCCGCCAACACTCCACCCACCATCTGTTTGCTGGTCGACGGTGGAAACAAATTGGTTTGGAGTGGCCACAAGGATGGCAAAATCCGGTCATGGAAGACGGATCTTCCTACAGATGATACTACTCCGTTCAAAGAAGGCTTGTCATGGCAGGCGCATCGTGGTTCAGTTCTTTCCATTGTCATGAGCTCCTATGGTAAACTATGTTATATTAATCAAAAGATTAAGCTTTTCCTCCTCTAAATTACAAAAAAAAAAATACAACATTTAAGCATAATGCCTTGTTGCAGGTGACTTGTGGTCAGGTGGAGAAGGCGGTGTTATTAAGATTTGGCCATGGGAATCCATTGAAAAATCTCTCTCTCTTAGACCAGAGGAGAAACACATGGCTGCTTTATTGGTAGAAAGGGCATTCATTGACCTCAGGAGCCAAGTTACTGTTAATGGTAACTGTAATCTCTCTTCCTCCGACATCAAGTGCTTGGTTTCTGATCATGTAAGAGCCAAAGTTTGGTGTGTTCAGCCTCTTTCCTTCTCTCTATGGTACGTTTGGTTTGGCCTATGATATGCATTTATAACATGCTTTTCGATTTCCATTGTTGAGTTTACTTGATCTGCAGGGATGCTCGCACCAAGGATCTTCTCAAAGTGTTTAACATCGATGGTCAGATTGAAAATCGTGTTGACATACCGTCGCAAGATCAACAGGGCGCTGTGGAAGATGAGGTGAAGGTGAAAGTTGTTTCCGGTACAAAAAAGGAGAAGTCCGGGGGCTTTTTGCAACGTTCTCGAAATGCTATAATGGGAGCGGCGGACGCCGTCCGTAGGGTGGCAACGAGAGGAGCCGGAGCATTTGCGGAAGACAATAAGAGGACCGAAGCGCTAGTGCTTGCTCCGGATGGGAGCATATGGAGTGGATGTACAAATGGCCTACTTGTGCAGTGGGATGGGAATGGAACTCGATTGCAAGATGTTAGTCACCACCCTTGTGCAGTACAATGCTTTTGTGTTTTCGGAACACGGATTTTTGTAGGCTATGTTAGTGGAATAGTCCAGGTGATGGATCTTGAGGGGAACCTGGTTGCAGGATGGATGGCTCACAACGGTCCCGTCATAAAATTAACAACTGGCAACGAATACATCTTCAGCTTGGCTACACACGGCGGTATACGGGGATGGAACATCTCATCGCCGGGGCCAATCGATGGCATATTACGACAAGAACTATCGGAAAAAGAACACATCTACTCTAGACAAGACAACATAAGGATGCTTGTTGGAACATGGAATGTCGGTCAAGGAAGAGCCTCTCCGGAGTCACTTATGTCATGGTTGGGTTCTGTTGCATCAGACGTCGGCATTGTTGTTGTTGGTTTACAAGAAGTGGAAATGGGTGCAGGTTTCCTTGCAATGTCTGCAGCTAAAGAAACCGTAAGATCTATAAAGTCATATAATACGATACCATGTCGTCGAAAATGTTCTTATTTGAAAAAATGCAATCTCTTCGTTAACCTCTTGTATCTAAGTGTAGGTAGGACTTGAAGGGAGTTCTATTGGGCATTGGTGGCTTGACACAATTGGAAAGGCCTTAGATGAAAACACAACATTTGAACGTATGGGTTCTAGGCAGCTTGCAGGATTACTGATTTCTCTCTGGTAAGTAGCCATTACCTCGACATAAAATTTTGTCGAATTCGATTTAATGAAGCTAGGAGCTTTATCTTCTGTATATAGGGTAAGGAAGAATCTTAGAATGCATGTCGGGGACATCGATGCTGCCGCGGTTCCGTGTGGCTTTGGTCGAGCTATCGGCAATAAGGTTTTTTCCACTTCGATAACTTCGATTTTCATGGTTTAGAACATAGGCATTAATGCCTCTGCAACTGCAGGGAGGTGTAGGTTTGAGGATCAGAGTGCATGACCGGTTAATATGCTTTGTTAACTGTCACTTAGCTGCACACTTGGAGGCAGTAAACCGGCGAAATGCTGACTTTGATCATATCTTTCGAAATATGGCCTTCACCCGGTCGTCGAATCTACTCAATAACGCAGCTGGTATGGTGCGATTACTGTTTTTCTGTTGCTCTCTTGCGTTCTGCACATATTTATTTTGGCTGCTTTATTCTTCTGGCTTGCCACTCGTGCTCTGTGTTGCAGCTGGAGCCTCTGCTTCTGTTCATACTGCTCGGGTCAATAATGTATACGCTCACTCCGCTCGATTTCATTATATATATATATATATCTTAGTTTACCTTTTCTACATACTTAGTTTCTTGGAGATCACAAGTACTACTGCATTTTCCACAGCCTGCAGGTGTTAACACTGAAGAAACAAAGCTTGATTTAGCAGAAGCAGATATGGTTGTATTTTGTGGCGATTTTAACTACCGCCTCTTTGGTATATCTTATGATGAAGCTAGGGACTTTGTTTCTCAAAGATGCTTCGATTGGCTTCGAGAAAAGGATCAGCTTAGGGCGGAGATGAAAGCCGGTAAGGTTTTCCAAGGAATGCGCGAGGCCATTATCCGATTCCCTCCGACCTACAAGTTCGAAAGGCACCGCCCGGGCTTGGCAGGTACATACAACAACAAAACTTGATTCCTCGGTTTCTATCCGCTTGACTTATATAATTCAATCACTTTGTTATACCCTTTAAGGTTATGATTCCGGAGAAAAGAAGCGTATTCCTGCATGGTGTGACCGAGTGATATATCGTGATAACAGGGCCGGACCGACTGCCGAGTGCAGTTTAGAGTGTCCTATAGTTTCCTCCATTATACTGTAAGTATGTTCACAAAGTGTTATGTTGTGCCGCTGAGTATGGATCTTTCTGATGTGCAACTGCAATGAATGTGTAATGATCAGGTACGAGGCTTGCATGGACGTTACCGAGAGCGACCATAAACCTGTAAGGTGCAAATTCCATATTACACTTGCGCATGTAGATAGATCAGTAAGGAGACATGCATTTGGGGAGGTGATGCAGTCAAATCGGAAAATTAAGGCTATACTCGACGGATTACGTTTCGTTCCGGAAACAGTTGTTAGCACCAACAACATCATCCTGCAAAACCAAGACACATCGATCCTCCGAATCACCAACAAATGTGACAAGGATAAAACTATATACAGAATACTTTGCGACGGCCAGTCCACCGCCAAGGATGAGGAGGATGTAGTCGAGTACCATCCGAGAGGCGCCTTCGGCTTCCCGCGCTGGCTCGAGGTATTTGCAACTAAACAGTGGATGTACTCTGTTATGTCATATAGACTTGTGAACTGTGCGATGCTGTTTTTGACATAGGTTACACCAGCTTCTGGCATAGTCAAGCCGGATTCGTTTGCTGAGGTCGCAGTCCATCACGAGGAATTCCATACACTCGAAGATCTTGTCGATGGCATCCCACAGAACTGGTGGTGCGAAGACACTCGAGATAAGGAGGTGGTACTGACAGTGGTCACATACGGGAGTTGTTCGACAGAAACGAAAAGCCATCATATCCGCGTGCGTCACTGCTTCTCGGCAAAGGCGGTCCGCATCGGCTCAAAATCGAACACAAACAAGAAAAGCCAAGGAGGAGGTAGTCTTAGGAAGCACAACAGCACCTCGGAGTCGAACGACGATTCAAGGCACTGACATTAAAGCCTTTGAAGCTACTAGAAGCGAGTGTCTGTAGGAACGTACATAGGCAACAACTGGGGGGGAGCCTGACTAATTCCATTCCATTTTTACTCACAACTTGAAGATGTAAAATACAAAAAAGGAGCATGGGAGTTTGAGATGTTGGGACCATTGGTTTTGATCTGTTAAAAGTAGTGGCTTCTTTATGTTTTTTTAGCAATCCATGCCATCCATATTCTCTTCATGTATTTCACAGACTACCCCACAAACCATTCTTGCTTGAAGGCAGCAGTGTAATGTTTCTGGCCAATTTATTTATTTATTTATCTATTTCTTTCCCAAGCGGAGGAAATAATTGTGAGATTGATCAGCTAAACAATATCAGACTATAATTCAACTTATAACATATTCTTCAGGCACATGAGTACTATAATCTTCGACTCAACTATTATGCATAGACCAGATTCCTGATAGACTCACGTGACTTATGAGAACGAAATCCATGATCTGACTACCATGTATGTTTAATATACAAAACCTACTAGTAGCTGCAATTATCCTATGTTTGATACAATCAGATCACTATATACACTTCAACCATGGCTGGAAAAAGGAATCCATCTTGACTATTATCTTCCTATAAACTTACATCTTCCCCTTATTAACTTGATCTGTCTCAGAGAAAAATATCGACTAATACCCATTTTAACACTTATTGTGGCTCTGATCAAATAAAGAAGGATGAAATATCAGTGACTGAAGAGACAAATTTATTCATACCAACACAAGTGAAATACCCGAAAGAAACTCCCCATTTTTTAACATTGTTAACATGACATGCTTATGGTTCCGGTTCCAGAAACAAAAACATGGAATCCTTAAAAATAGGTACCTTTGCCTGTCTTCTTGCAATAATTGGGAGTGCATATTGTTTGGGGAAAACGGATTATTTCCCACACGAACGTAGTTTTAAAATTGACCTAAAATGTCAAGATTAAAACCACCAAAGGTTGCACAGCGGATAAACCTGTCAAACTATTGAATATTGAAACACAATGGAAAAGAATCGAATAAAAAACAATAAAGGAGAGAACACACCAAATTTACGAGGTTCGACGAGAATATCGTCTACTCCTCGGGCACCACACCGGATGATAACTTCACTATATCGCCAATATTACAACAAATGGAATTCTTTGGAATTTCCAAAGTCGGAGAATGAAGAATACAAGAGGAAGAGAGAACTTGTTTTTGGGATGATTTCTAATGGAAATACTTAGGCCTATTTATAGTTGAGTTTCAAGAACAATATGTTCAAAGTTTGGCCACCTACCAAAGAATTTTCCAATGTGTACAAGTTAGCCACAAAATATGAAATTCACATGTTCAAAGTTTGGCCACCAACCAAGATGAAATTTCCAATAAGTTGGCCACCAACCAAGATGAAATTTCAACTTGTCAACTTAATTTCTAGACAAATCTAACAAATCTCCACATTGGCTTGAAATTACCAAGCCTACTCAACTTCTTCAACTCCCCAATTTTGTAGTGCCTCTAATTGCGCTCACAAGCGTCACACACCCGAAGGTGTTCATACTTTCAGGATGTTAATCAAGTTCAAACAATGATTGAACTTGATTACTGTTACCACCTTGGTCATCATATCTGCATGATTTTCTGATGTCGCAATTTTCTGAAGTAGAATCTTTTCTTCTTCAAAGATCTCCCGCACAAAGTGATACCTCACGTCGATATGCTTAGTCCTTGAATGGTAGACTTGATTTTTTGCTAAGTGAATAGCGCTATGACTGTCACAATAGAGACTAATGTGACTTTGAACAACTCTCAAGTCTTCCATCAACCCGTTAAGCCAAATTGCTTCCTTTACAGCCTCTGAAACTGCCATGTATTCTGCCTCTGTAGTAGACAATGCCACCGTAGATTGCAATGTAGACTTCCAACTTACTGGGGCTTTAGCAAGAGTAAACAAATACCCAATAGTTGATCGACGCTTATCCAAATCACCAGCATAATCAGAATCAACATATCCAACCATACACTGACCAAGTGCTTCATCCTGTTCAAAAACTAAACCAACATCCACGGTTTGTTGGAGATACCGCGGAATCCATTTCACAGCTTGTCAATGTCCTTCTCCAGGATCATGCATGTACCTGCTCACAACTCCAACTGCTTGTGAAATGTCAGGACGCGTACACACCATTGCATACATCAAGCTCCCAACTGCATTAACATATGAAACTTTTTCCATATACACTCGTTCTTCGTTAGTTTTAGGAGATAATTGAGAACTAAGTTTCAAATGAGAAGCCAATGGGATACTTACATGTTTGGTATTTTCATTCATGCCAAAACATTGTAATACCTTTCTCAAATACTACTTCTGTGTTAAACAAAGCTTCCCTCTCTGTCTATTTCTGCTTATCTCCATACCAAGAATCTTCTTGGCCTCACCTAGATCTTTCATCTCAAACTCTTGATTCAATTGAGCCTTTAATTTGTCTATCTCCTTTTGACTCTTCGAAGCGATCAACATATCGTCAACGTACAAGAGAAGATAAATGAAAGATCCATCTTTGAGCTTTTGCAAATACACACAATGATCATATTTGCTTCTAGTATACTTTTGCCTCCTCATAAAGCTATCAAATCGCTTGTACCACTGTCTCGGAGATTGCTTCAATCCATATAGCGATTTGTTCAGCTTACAAACCCATTTCTCATGACCACCATCTTTGTATCCTTCTGGCTGAGTCATATAGATCTCCTCTTCTAAATCACCGTGCAAGAAAGCCGTCTTTACATCAAGTTGAGCTAGCTCTAAATTCAACTTTGCTACCAAGGCCAACAATATTCTAATAGAGGAATGCTTCACAACAGGGGAAAATACTTCATTGTAGTCGATTCCCTCCTTTTGAGCGTAGCCTTTAGCTACCAACCGTGCCTTGTAGCGAACATCTTTCTTGTTATGAGATCCATCTTTCTTTACAAATACCCACTTGCATCCAATGGCTCTTTTACCTTTCAGTAATTGTGCCAGTTTCCAAGTGTTGTTCTTTTGGAGAGATTGTATTTCTTCATCCATGGCACTTTTCCACTTATCACTTTCCAAGCTTTGTATTGATTCTTGGTAAGTGATAGGGATATCATCATCAACAACTGGAAGAGCATAGGCCACCATATCAACAAATCGAGCAGGTCTACAAATTTCTCTTCTTGGCCTTGTAACTGCAAGTGTTTCTGGTGTCTCCAATGGTTCTTGGGTTTGAACCTCTTCATCTTCTGATTCTTCTATTGGAGTTGAAGAATCAGCCGCATCAACTTCTGGGATCATCGTCTGCTGAAACTCCACCTGTTTTGGAGTATGCTCCACCTGCTGCGGAGTACTACTTGTTTGGACAGCTTCACTTGTTACCTTCTTTACTAGGGCAGATTCATCAAAGGTAACATATCTGCTACAAATTATCTTCTTGGTGTCTAAACACCAAAAGCGGAATCCTTTCACTCCATGGGTGATTCCCATAAAGAGAGCCTTCTTTGCTCTCGGATCAAGCTTGGATTCCTTCACATGATAATAAGCAGTGGATCCAAATACATGTAAGGAATCATAATCAGTAGCAGGTTTTCTAGACCATACCTCCAATGGTGTTTTTCTTCCTATTGCTGATGACGGCAGACGATTGATGAGATGGCCAGCATATGTCACAGCCTCAGCCCAAAATGACTTGCCTAACCCAGCATTAGACAACATACATCGAACTTTCTCCAATAGTGTTCGATTCATACACTCTGCCACCCCATTCTGTTGTGGTGTATGTCTAACAGTGAAGTGTCGAACAATACCATACTCATGGCAAACGTCAAAGAATGGGTCACTTTTATATTCCCCTCCATTGTCCGTCCTAAGATGTTTGATCTTTCTACCAGTCTGGTTCTCGATCATATTTTTCCATTTCAGGAAAATTTGAAGCACTTCATCTTTAGACTTCATCGGATACACCCAAACTCTTCTGGAAAAGTCATCTACAAAAGTTACAAAATAATGGTTTCCTCCTAAAGACGATGTCTTTGAAGGACCCCATATATCTTAGTGAATATAATCTACAATACCTTTTGTATTATGTATAGTGGTGCCAAACTTCACTCTCTTCTGCTTTCCAAGAACACAATGCTCGCAAAAGTTCAATTTGCAAGCCTTTGCACCTTTCAACAATCCTTTCTTTGCCAGAATTTGCAAGGATTTCTCTCCAGCATGTCCCAACCGCATATGCCACAACTGGGTTGCATCCAAATCATCACCTCCGGAAGCTGCTGCAACTGCTCCAATAATTGTACTACCTTGGTAGTAATACAAATTATTTTTCCTGATGCCCTTCATTATCACAAGTGCGCCATATGTGACTTTTAAAACTCCATCTCTCATAGTGACTACTGAGCCTTTGGATTCTAAGGCTCCCAACGAGATGAGATTTTTCTTCAAACTGGGCACGTATCGGACATCCGTCAGAACTCTGGTTGATCCATCTTGATTCTTCAATCGAATTGAACCTATCCCAATTGTTTTACAGGCATTGTCATTGCCCATATAAACAACTCCTGCATTTAGTTCCACTAAATCAGAGAACCACTCTCGATTAGGGGACATATGATAGGTGCAACCCGAATCTAATATCCACTCATCGGAATGGAATGTTGTTGATGAAGCAACCAATGATATGTCAGAGTCATGTGCATCATGCTCTGCAACACATGCATCTGGAGCAGCTTTTTCTTTCTTCTTCAGCTTCGGACAATCTTTCTTCCAATGGCCTTTCTCATGACAAAAGGCACATTCATCTTTTCCCAGTCTGGAATTCGACTTTGATCTCCATCTCCACTTTGGCTTTTGACTTTTCGAGCGACCTCTTGCCACTATGGCCTCTGCTGCTTCGTACTTACTTTCCTTCTTGGTTTTCTTCCTGAGTTCATAACTATACAAAGCAGCAGTTACATCTTTAAGGGTAACATTATCCTTACCATGAAGTAACGTTGTCTCAAGGTGCTCAAATTCATCTGGAAGAGATGACAACAACATCAAAGCCAAATCTTCATCTTT